GATAAAATATGATGATTCCAATAACACCAGCACGTGCTTTCGAATGAACGCATTACGAAGGAACTACAAAAGATCCAAAAAAACCACATCTTTACCTCGCTTAAGTTAGTACATATCCAAGTTCCTTATATTGAGCTCTTAAGGTACTACTGTGCTGCCAACAAATGACTAAAGATGAACAGTAAATGGTGAGACTGCAAGCAAACAACGCTATAACAACGAGTCATGCGGTTCGAAAACTTAGTTGATCCCCTACGGGCTTACATATTAAACCTAAACTCTGGACTTGTTCCAAATCACACCCGAATGATTGTTGTATCAGAAAATGAACAAGAGTTTGCACACAAGGCGGAACGCGGGGAGGGGGTGGGGGACGAGCACGACATTTGTGCAACCATTTCCACAGTTCAAACTATGCCTCCACCCGTTCGTTAAGATGGATGCCAGTCTCGGGGGTTGTACAGCGACCGCCCGCTGCGACTGCAAGTACAAACGCTGCGATTGTTGAGCGATGCTAGGGTCACGAGTGGGAAGGAGCATCCAATGCAAACCATATGGATGAGTAACGACATACCCCACTCGTAACTCGATTAAGCACAACTGGCATAACGCCAGAATCTCAGCGACTGCACTTTGTACTCGCACAGACAATGTTGCTGTCGCGTTGGCACAACCGTCGAGTCCGGTATATGCCTAGCACCTGTGACATTACCTTTCAGTTTCATACTGGCTCTGCGGTCGCTTCTCCTACTAAAGGATAATCCCAATGAATGTAAGCCCGCGGGAGTCAAACTGTGCTCCAAAAAAGTACGGTGAAATTGAGACACTTGAAAGGTGACACGACATCAAGCTGCCTACCATTAACTATCAATACTGTACACTTATAATATTATATTCACATGGAAAAAATAAAACAGGGCATGGAACAGAACTCTTTGAACACAATGTATGGACCCACAAAGATATAAGAGGTAATGGAAATGTTAGAAAATCTATTATTGGGCCGTTGCACCTAGCTGCTCGCAAACGATTGATGAAATAGTTTGTGGGGGAGACTAAACTGATCGATATAGCCATACATCCGAAAAGAAGTATTACTGGAATTTCAAGAACTGCACATCATAATCACAGAAAATGTGAAATGTTAAAATTCAATGGCTCTAACCTTTCAAGTTGCTATTAGCAATTCTGACAAAATTTTAAATTCAAGTGAGGAATGACGTACGCTGACGAGTAAATAGAAACTGCACACGTGGAACGAAGAAATTCACACCAATTTCTCAGGCAACTAGATCACAATTGATGACATGAGATATACACTGCAGCTGAAAAGCTCACACCGCTGTCTGTGTTCCTTCTCCAGGGCCGCGTGGCTGCTAAAAGACTATTGTGAAAAGATATCATTAATTAACAAGATGAGCACATGAAAGCTAGCCAAGTTCTAGCAAAGTGGATGAAGCGGTCCACTTACGCGATCGAGCTGCCCGTTACTAAATTAACAAATGGCCATAATGTTTGAAAAGCAATATGTGAAAGTTTGAGAATCTGAGTCCATACATCAATGTCAAGACTGTGTAAAGAACAGTAGAAACTGTTAGAAATAACTTTGCAATTTTGATGGCGCTTTTTTCATGTTGCAGCGGTAAAAGTGATAGAAGCGGCTACGCGGCCTTGCGCTGAGGCAAGAATTCAAAAGAAAAAAGAAAATGAGACCACATATTAGTGGTAAAATAACTGGAAAACGCTGTCAGGATATGTGCGAAAGATCTATGAGGGAGGATGACCCTAGGCGAGACGTGCTAGCAACAATAGTTGTGAGGAAAAAAAAACTAGAGAGTACCAAAGAGCCTTATGAAACTCGCAGTCCTTGCCATAACCCATCTACCCGAATAAGGAGCGGGGCCGTATCGGTGCAGTAGCTCAAGCCGGCTCCAGCAGTCCTAGTTTTCTCGGTGGAAACGTTCGCGTAAAAGTAGATCTAAGTGAGTACTACTGTCTCAAAGGTTCACAGTAAAAGAAAACCTTGGGGTGACTTCAAATACGCTCTGTAATGAAATGTAATTTTCCCATTCCAAGAATAAGAATAATAAATAATATAAGAACGGACTGTAGCAACGTACCTTGTGCATTTCACTGTAGCGCATTTTCTGTGTGTGACCATCAAATCGTTTGTAAGTGAAATCGACAAATTCGCCACGATGACCGGGTTGCTCTTCCGGTTTTTGTGGGACGCTCACAACAGCTAAAAAAATCCTTTCGATTTTGACAAGCCAAATACTTTTACGGAAATGCTTAAAAACGGGAACGTGGGCAAAGAAATAAAAACAGATGTACAAATGCACTCACGCCATCGGAGGTCAACGTCTGGGAAATCATCGAAGTTGCTGGTGTCGTCGATGCTTTTTACCTCTACCCGGATAGGGGCGGGACGTTCTCTGGAAGGATTGAAACTCCACCAAACTTCACGATTCGCCATGAAAAATTCGGCAAAAAAACGTCAGAAACTGCCTAGTGGTCCCTTCCAAGACGTAGCATCAAATTTCTGTATCACAAGTCGCCTCGCAACAATCATAGGTGCAAAAACATCAACAATAGGATACTAAATTCAAGCTAAACATTTCGCGGAGGATTACCTTACAATTGATGTTACTCTTAGTTGTATCTCTAGTGCGACTAGTCCACATTCGGTACCTTTTTTTCTGTTTTCTGCTACCTCCAAGTACGTAGCTCATATGAGAAGAATTTTAGGTCTGTTTGGATAAGATAGGTATCGCTGTGCAAATAACCAAACGCGCTTAAATCCATTACAAACATATTCAGTTATAGTGGACATTTAACACAAAGCCTCAGGGTGGGAGACACTTTGCTTGAGTAATCTTCATTTCCCCCGGACTACCCCCCCACCTCCCCCTTCAGAGCTTAGTTCCCCAGGAGGATAGAGATCGGTGCGCCCTCTCCTCTCAAGATTCTTACCCTCCATATCAGAACCTATAATATATAAGCGAGTTCTAAACCATTTAAAAAAACAATGAATTAGGAAAACGAAAAACCAAAAAAAGGATGAAAATGCGTGGAGACTAAATTCAGAGATGCGTAGAGATCACAAGGTGATTTGCGTTTTAAGACATGCACTGTTTTGATAACAGCTGTTGTTGTGAAAGGCTTAGCAAATACTACAGTTTTGACATGGTAATCTGTTTTTTGCTTCATATGCTATAATATTTACCATGATCATTTGGTAGCAGAAAATGTTGCACTTAGAAAAACTTGAAACGGGCTTCCGCAGCAAGAATTTTGGGCACTATTGCATTATTACAACCCCAGTGGGGGCCGAGATGGGTCAAAAAATAATTTTCGCTGAAACTTTTGCTATGGGGGTTATCGAGGGTCCTGATCACGAATATGACATCCATTTTTGGCGCTGGCGCCAAATTGGCGGCGCCACAACTGATTATCACCAAATTCGCTGTAAACTTCTGAATAGGGGTTATTTGGGGCCCTGATCACGAATATGACACTGGTTTTTGACATTCGTGCTGTTTAACGCATATTTTCTGCTTTTCTAAGCTTTCTCACCTATGGCGCCTAGGACTAAGCTTAGGGGAGGGGAGTGAAACTCCGGAGTGGGTAAACCACGCACCGTGTGGCAAAAGTTGGAGTGTGTTAGACCACAGGGGAGTGGCCTACTCACTTTGGAGCCCTCCACTATTCAAAGGCTTAGTCCTGATTGCGATCTAATTAGTGCGAGGGCGCAGACGAGCAGGAAATAGGCGCCGAATAGCGCTAACAACAAAAACGAATGTCATATTCGTAATCAGGACCCCAAATAACCCCTATACAGAAGTTTACAGCGAATTTGTGGGAATCAGTTGTGGCGCCACCTGGCGCCAGCGCCAAAAATGGATATCATATTCGTGATCAGGACCCTCGATAACCCCCATAGCCGAAGTTTCAGCGAAAATTATTTTTTGACCCATCTCACCCCTACTGGGGTTGTAATAGTGCAATAGTGCCACTTCCGAGAATGTATAGCTCATACGAAGATCTCACGACGAGAGTCATTAGCTCGTATCCGATGTTAGTACTGGAATGGAACTACTGGAATGTAATGTGGTAAATTTACCCGCGCCTTATCGTGTCGAATACCTGAAAACTTTCGGTACACGCAATAAGAACATTTCGCATGAATTTGTGCTGTTCTGTTACGCTTCTAATTCTTATGCGACCATATGGGTTGGCCACAATATTACGCATATTTTCAATTTTCTGCTCTTTGAAGGAAATCTCCACAATCAAACCTATTCGGCCAAACCCTCCCAGAAATGATATTCATGATTCCTCAACTTCAGGGGATATTTCGCTTTCATGACACAACACATGCGGCAACGGAGCCCGCTGTTGTAAAAATCAAAAAATCAGCTGTTTTTTCTCAAATTTGTGTTTCTGGCACCAGAATCAGCCTTCGTTCAAATTAGAGGAGTCCGGAATTCGAGTGACGGGTTCAACTTTCGTAATATTTAGGTAATTTGCAACAGCTCTGCTCCGTTCAACTGATCAGCTTCACGAGGAGGGTCGCAAGAGTAGGGACAATGTCTAAAGTTTAGCGAGAATCGTAAACGCGAATCGGCCTAGACTCGAAGCGAGCCGCCAGCTAAAAGCCTCTTCCATTATTTATCCATCGATGGAGGGGAATGGCCAGTCCTTGAGTTAAAGGCCATCTCCCTACGGAATCGCACTGTGTGCTTCTAGCACATCGCATTGAATGTATCGTGTCAAGTTGCGGCAGTGACAGAAGAAAAAGAAAAGAATCCGTCGAAAACGCTCAGGTTGAGGGCTCACTCAACCTTCCTAATTGGCTGTGCTAAAGGAACGAGAGACTAAGCGCGAAGAGGAGAGTATGGGGCGAGAGAGCGCATCAGATGAGAGAGCACCAGACAACGGCCTGATAAGAGAGCTCGTTCGCTGCAGCTCGAGCAGCTTACTTTGCAAGCCCAAAGCGTTCTTGTCGGTCGAATTCCGTGCACGTGAACGCCACATTTGTGATTGTCCCCTAGGGTTCTATACTTCTGACCGAAGAGAAGAGTTATAAAAAACCTCTGCCTGGGTTGTGCCTTTAAAGGTAGTAGCGAACAGTTGCGGTGGTTTTCTTGATGCCATCAGTCACAGTTATGTTGCAGAGGACGAGACGAGACGAGTTTTTTCTAGGCATTAGTGAAGACGAAAAGGAAGAAAGGCGAAGGGTGCAACGCTCGAAAGAGACCGACTTCTTACGTCTTAAGAGAACTCGACTTGAAGTAACGGATTTTGAAAGCTTGAAAGTGATCGGAAGAGGAGCGTTTGGCGAGGTACGTATGTGTTCGATTTTTTCTGTGGAATTCGTTTCTTTTTTATTTACATCATTCAAGTGGCAACGTATCTGATCTGAATCTTTTTTGAAGCTTTTCCTTAGCAAGACTTGGCGCGCATGCGTATGAGATTGTTCATTCTATGATGCCACAAACAGCGCTCTAGCTCTCTGTGTCCACACATCCTTCCCAACTGTGTAGTCTCTTGCTTAAAGAAAGTGGTCACGATAATTTTCATGGGAACGATAAGGGAAGCTATGTATTGGAGTGGATAGAGGTCCTGCCCAGTGTTACAACACGTGAAGTTTCAGTGGCAGTGGCGCCTTATCAACGGAGTGATAAGGCGCCGAAATCCACTTCCGTTCAGCAAAAACCAAGACTTATCGATGTGGAAAGGGGTGCGATAAGAGCGTGCTAGATATGATACCGTTATCGTTATCGTCCCGTTTTCATTCTGGAGTGCACCTCTTATCAAGCAGCCGCACCTTCTTATCTCATCGTATCATATCTTCCATGGGCTTACACTCGTCCAACAATTACTGCCTCACACCTTATCGATTGATAACGCGAGGGTAGCAAATCCAGCGTGGAAGCCAGCGTGACCGCTTCCTTTAATGAACAACTGCATTGATTCACAGCACGTTCTTTCAGGTCAGGCTTGTTCAAAAAATTGACAGTGGCCATATTTATGCGATGAAGATACTTCGAAAAAGTGAGATGTTGGAAAAGGAACAAGTGAGTAGGTGCAAGTCTTATTCTTCATGGGTCTTTTGTAAAACCTGTTCAGACTGCACACGTTCGAGCTGAACGAGACATTTTATCTGAAGCGGACTGCGAATGGGTAGTGAAGATGTACTATTCTTTTCAAGATTTTGCTAACTTGTATCTCGTTATGGAGTTTTTACCTGGAGGTATGCGTTATTAGTCGATCGTTTTCCTCATAGATCAATCATTTTCTTCATTATCAAGTCTCCCATGAGAACGCTTGCGCAGTTGTAGGTAGGAGGGGAACATTAGGGTAAAATCTAGCATTGAAGAAAATTTTATTCAAAGGCTAAGTTCAGTTCAAACTGATGTATTTTTGGGAGCAATGGGGTGGAGATGTAAAGTGTAACGCCAATAATGGAAAAACGGGAAGGGACTGTCGCAAGGACGAAGTTAAAGCAACAGTTCAGGAACGGTTTCGCGGGAAAAAACCACCAATAATGAAGTTGTAGATGAAAACCAGACGATTAATGTATGAAAAACTGGAAAAAAACGTCGGGGAGGGTCTTAGACAGGTACTCTCCCTCTGCCGCTCAGCAATGGATAAAGACGCACGTTGGACGAGTTGTCTGAACGTGCCCGCTGTAAACGCGCTCCATTTTTCAATCAGTTTTCCCTGTGGTCCCAAAACGAGCACGATTGCCGACGCGTCCCATGACGGCCG